TCTGTCCGTCTCTCTCTCTCTCTCTCTATTTTCTCTCATATCTCTCTTCTCTCTCACTCTCTCTACCCCCTCTTTCTATCCACTCTCTCTTTCTCTTCTCTCTCCCTCCTCTCTCTATTCTCTCTTCTCTCTCTGTCCCTTTCTCTCTCTGTTTCTTTCTGTCCATCTCTTTCTCTCTCTATTTTCTCTCATATCTCTCTTCTCTCTCCCTCTCTCTACCCCCTCTTTCTATTCACTCTCTCTTTCTCTTCTCTCTCTCCCTCCTCTCTCTATTCTCTCTTCTCTCTCCCTGTCTCTTTCTCTCTCCCTCTTTCTCCTCCCCTCTCTCTCCCACTTCTCTCTCCACCCCCTCTCTCTCTCCTCTCTCTCTACCTCCCTCACTCTCCTCTCTCTGTTCTGTTTTCTCTCTCCCGCTTTCTCCTTCCCCCATTCTCCCCCCTCTCTCTCCCTCCCCCTCCTCTGTCTCCTCGCCCCCCCCACTCTCTCTATTTGCTCTCTCTTATTCTCTCTCTCTCTCCCTCTCTCTCCTTTCCCAAGTTCCATCATTCTCTCTATTCCAGCTCTCTTCTAGTCTCTTTCACTTTCTCTCTTATCTCACTACCTTTCCCCCCACCCTCTCTCCTTTTCCCTCTCTCTCCCTCTCTTGCTCCTTTTCATTCCTCTCCTCTTTCCTGTCTTCCCCTCTCTACACCACTCCTCCCTTGCTCCCCCTTTCTATTTTTTATCTTTTCTATCACCCTTTTCCTTTAATACCTCTCACCGCCGTTCCTCTTCCCTCCCTGTACCTCTCTCTCTCTCTCTCCCTTCCTTCCTCTCTCTTCATATCTTTATTCTTCCATTCTATAGCTTCCGTCTCCTCAAACCAAACATAAAGTCCTTTCCACGTGTTTCCCTTTTGGAGATATTAATACACTTCGAGCTTCGTGCTTGCTGGATTTGCTGTACAAACTCAAACTCCAAATCAGTTCATTGTTTAGAGCAATAAAACCACATTGCATATTTTACCAGCGCTGCTCTATTGTTTTATTTGTCATGGCTTAGTCCAGGCTACCAAATAAAGCAAGTGACTCAAATATCAATCGTTGCCTCATGTATATGAAATGTAACCTGACATTAGGGATTTAACGATACCCAAATCTCACGGTACGATATTATCACGATATTCTGTACGATATTATTATTATTATTGTAGACAGGATACTTTTCGTTTTAACATACTTTGACAAGACTTTGGTGTGAATTATTACTGTCATCGAGCCAAGAATGAAGGTAAAAAAAAAACATATCTCTTCATGTTGTCTGCACTGAAATGAATCATGGGATATGTAGTTCCCTATATGTATTAAATGTTGCTACTATAAAACAAAGCATTTAAGAAAAGGAACTTGTTATTCGATACTTGTAATTCGATGACGTACTTGTAATACTTGTCATTTGATACTTGTAATTCATTGACATATTTGTAACACTTGTAATCTGATGATGTACTTGTAATATTTGTAATTCGGAACTTGTAATTCGATGATGCCCACGATATTATTTTGAGAATTTTGACTATACGATATTGATGATGTACTTGTAATACTTGTAATTCGATATTTGTTATTTGGAACTTGTAATTCGATGACGTACTTGTAATACTTGTAATCCGATGATGCCAACGATATTATTTTGAGACTTTTGACTATTTGATATACGATGACGTACTAGTAATACTTATGATTCAATACCTGTAGTTTGATGAAGTAATACTTGTAATTTGGAACTTGTAATTCGAAGACTCCCATAATATTATTTTGAGACTTCTGACTATAGGACATACTTGTAATACTTCTAATTCGAAACTTGTAATTCGGAACTTGTAATTTGATGAAGTACTTTTAATTTGATACTTGTAATTCAATGAGGTACTTGTAATGCTTGTAATTTGGAACTTGTAATTCAATGACGCCCATGATATTATTTTGAGAATTTTGAATATACAATATCGATGATATACTTGTAATACTTGTAATTCGATATTTGTTATTTGGAACTTGTAATTCGATGATGTACTTGTAATACTTGTAATTCGATACTTATAATTCAGAACTTATAATTGGATGAAGCCCACGATATTATTTTGAGACTTTTGACTATATTATATCGATGACATACTAGTAATACTTGTAATTTGATGTAATTCAGAACTTGTAATTCAATGACGCTCATTGTATTATTTTGAGACTATATTATATCGAAGATGTACTTGTAACACTTGTAATTTGATGACGCCCACGATATTATTTTGAGATTTTTGACTAGACGATATCGATTACGTACATGTAATACTTGTAATTTGATACTTGTAATGTGGAACTTGTAATTCGATGACGCCCACGATATTATTTTGAGACTTTTGACGATACGATACCAATATATTTCTGTTACTGTTACATCCCTAAATGTCCTAAATATGAAGTCAAAATCATTATCTCCATTTCTCTTCTCTCCAAAAACAAGTCTCAAACTCTCTCTTCCTTCCTATTCCCTCCTTGACATAAAAATTTCAGCGACACACAAAATTGGACCATCCATTTCTCCTCATTATTTTCCTCGTGAACCCTCTGACATTCACATACTCTATTATTAAGCAGCACTACTAACCAGCATTACTCAGTCCCTCCAGGCCATGGGCAAAGATTTGAACTTTGAATTCATATGTTATCCGATGAACTACCTGCATGCGGTCTGTTCATGTGCCCGGCTAAACCACCGCTCTGCAGTCAAATGCCCACAAATGCCCACTGCCGGCTGAGAAATCCAGTCTGTCTCTCCGCTCGGCTGATGGGGCCTCTGTGGCTAAACCAGTCATAAATTATTTCTCCTCTCGCGGCCTACAAGAATAAGTGATTCAAACTAAAATACAAGACATCTGTGTGTGGAGGAAAATACATAAGTTATACTTTGCTGTAGTGACAGAATTGTTGAAGAACGGGTCTCCATTGTGATGTTTATTTAAAGGTCCTGAATGACGCAAAATGGACTCTTGTGATCTGTTGTTACCTCCTCAAAAACAAACCTGGAGTTGTGTTTTGTTTCAATCACACATGTTTGACTAATCCTTGATATTTAATTTGTTTGTCGGTCTACATCTCCAAATCTTTAAATGCTCTGTTCCACCTTGTGATGTCATGAAAGAGTAGTTTTCACATTTACCTTTACCTTTTGTTTAGTAGAAACTAGGGCTGAGTATCATTAAGAAGTTGCAGATACAATACATACCTCGATACAAAGGCCACGATACGATACATATCTCAATACAGTGAGCTTTTGATTCAATATGCTATATTTTAAAATTATTCGATACCATTCAGTAAAAAATGACGGCTAAATAATGACTGTGATGATTAAAATGCACATTTTAATCATTAAAACAGTGAAAATGTCAAATATGTCACGTAAAAAGGTTTCCTTGCCCTGAACAAGCAACAAAACTGTAGCTCTATAACAAAATAATTCAGTGAAATATACCAAAAATACTCAATAATGGCAATATATCAATATAGCAGCCCACGATATCGAAACTGTATCATCACATTAAACGATACGATATATTTATATATCGATATTTCAATATTTTTGCACACCCCTACTAGAGACAGTACTGATTTGATGATTCTAGTGAAGGTGTATGGAGTTTAAAAACACAATGAAGGTACCTTCTGTATTACCACATGACATCACAAGGTGGAACAGAGTGTTTTCTATTTAAGAGAAGATTATTATTCATCATGAGTTATAACATAGATCAGAAAATAACGTAATGTGAGTCCTTTAAATGTGCGCTACACTGAATTTTTCTGTTGCTATCAGCCAATCCTAGTTGTCTCCATGGAGATATTCTTGCTGTCTCTGAAATGTCCCACAAAATGGCATTAAATGTATTTATATCCATGGAGACAAGCAGGTGGCATCACTTGTAACTTAATTAAATAATAGATGAAGATGTATAATGCCCCACAGCAGAACCTTCTATAACATCTTTATAAAGACAAGCAGGTGTCAGACCCTCCACCTAAAAAGTTGCATAGTGCATCTTTAAATCACTATTGAAACCCTTTTTGAGTTGTATTTTATTTTTATGTTGACAGTCTGTTCCCCAAAATGGTAGTTACAAGAGCTAAATAACAATATGTGAATACAAAATAAGAATTAGAGGATTATCTGGCTATTACAAGTGCACAGGCCTGGACTCTTCATATACAAATATTAGAGAAAAAGCTCCAGTTTTCCTCAATGATCCCTTCTCCTCTTGTGTCTAAATGTCAGAATGACTACAGTGGATACAGGGACACTACGTCCAAACTAAAGCCTCACGCGCAAGCTAACCCTCCATCATGTCAGTCCCAGCAGGATTACAGCTAAAGCCCCTCACTCGCTTTAGCCACTTTGGACAGCCCAGCCCTGACAGAGCCACAGAGCTGCTCTTTGAACATACAGCAACAACACACCGTGAAATCTGCTGTCAATCATCACGCCTGTTTAATGTTTAAGATGTAATCATGTAAATTCATTAATGTGCCAATCATGTATGTTAATCTAAACATGCCAGGCTATGACGCTAAAAAGAGGAAAAACTGGATCCAAAGGAAAAGAAATTATAATCCTTTGATTTGGTAAATTTAGATTTTCAGCAGTTTTACAGTGGATATTCTAAAAAGAACACTGTGCACTATGAGCCCATTCACAATCTCCCACATGCATTCATCAGTGTACACACACACGGGAGCAAAGATTGAGTGCCTTGCCCAAGGACACGACAGCCGATTGAACTGTGCAGTTATAGATGTTTTAACTGCACAATTAACAACAGGCATACATTATTGTAAATCTATATATTTTCAGTAAAATAATGACCATGCCAAGTTTTCACATTTTGGATATTTATATAATATAACAAAGCACTCATCATATACTCTCTCATCTTTCAGCTCCACCCTGTCACCAGAGGCACTCACCTTCCGATCATAGTAGAGTGCTGTTGCACGGCGGCCTCCAGGAGGCGCTCTAAAATGGTCCATTCTCCCATGGCTGTAGATCTGAGGCAGCCGGCGGGCGCAAAGAACCGGGGTGCTGTGCTGAGTTTGGGTGCTGTGTCCTCTCCGCTCGGCTCTGAGGGCTCCTGGACCCACAGCTCCTGTTTACTCTGCTCAGGCTCTGCTCGCTCCTGTTCACTCTTCAACTGTCCACACGTCACCTGTCCACACGTCACCTGTCCACTCTTCACCTGTCTCTTCTCCTGTCCCCTCTGCTCCTGTCGCGACTGTCTGCGAGCCGCACTCAGCACCCGGGCAGCGTCAGGTGGGACCCTGGCGAGGAGGCGGTTCAAACAGAGTCCAAATCTGCTCAAAGCCTGGATTCTCTTGTGCTCGTCTCTGGTGTGGTCCTTTCTGTTCCTCAGACGCTCAGACATATAAAAGAGCTGTGGAGGATCACTGCTGCATGTGCCTGGTTCAAAAGTCCTCTCCTCTCTCTTTGTGTTTCTCTGCTTCACGTGAGGGGTCTGTACACCTCTGCTCTCTGTCCAATCCCTCTGCACGTGAGTGTGTTTACCTCCGAACAGCTGCTGCTCACTCCTCACACCTGGACTAACACACACCAACCACCTCCAACACCAAACTCACTGCTCCTGAAAAACCATCAACAGTTTGTGCAAATCCATACTCCTCTATCTTCTCTCCTCTTCTCACAATCTCTTCTTTTCACAGCATTCGGGTCCATAATTTCACATGAGCACCAGCGTTTAATAACACACGCTTTTCCTTCTTAATCTCCATTTTGTTCAAAAGTCCTTGTTGAATCTCTCTCTCCGATGCACTGTTGCTTCTGGCTCGCTTCAGTCTTCCTCCTCCTCCAACACGAGAGCCGCTCGCTACTCAACCGCAAACCAATTATTCCAATGGTGACAGGTCTTGCTTGGACAATCTCACGTGTGGTAGGATCCGTCTCTCCTCCTCTCCTCTCCTTCCTTCATTCTGTTCTTTCTTTTCTTTCCTTCCTTGTGCGTTTCAGCCACCTGCCCGTGTTGAGTCCCTGTGCACGGCAGTGAAGGCAGTGGCCAGTCCGAGCGTGAGCCTCCAGGATTAGAGAAAGGAATCATCTCCCCATGCAATGCTCCTCCCCCTCCCTCTCTCTCCTCTCTCCATTCGTGTTTATCCCTCGCTTCCTCCTCCGCTTCTACAACCACACACTCCATTTTTCATCATCATGTATATAACACTAGCTTTGTGATTTGTGCTTTTATACCGTGTTCTACCAGTATTATGGGGCATTAGGAACGTCGTCGTGGCGATTAACAATTTAAAACTACACACTATATCTTTTTTAATGTCCTCAAAACAATGCTTAAAGACGAAATCCATAAAAGAGAGGTTCATTCATTTGCGGCTATTGTAAGCAGTGGGTACATTTGCATGGCCAGTAGAAATCAGATAACTAGAATAATCAGATTACCCAATAATTAGATCTGGTTTTTGGTGTGTGTTTACAAATCTGATCACTGAAAACACCTAGTGACGCGTGTGGGTTAAGCAATTGATTTTAGATGAACTGCTGTATTTGGAAGACAAAGTACGATGCATTTAAAATCGCTCTTTCAATCTTTAATTTAAAATGTTCTCATTGGTTTTTGTCTTACAGTTACAGATTTAAGCCTTTTTTGCATAAATTCTCTTGTCACAATCTGCACAGAATGAAATCAGATTACTCAAATCTAGGGATGTAACAGTAACAAAAATATCGTGATATCGTGTCGTCAAAGTTCTCACAATAATATCGTGGACCATCACAATATATCGAATTACAAGTCTCTTTGCTTAAATGAAGAGTTAAGGTGCAGCAATAGGCAAGTTTCATTGTTGAAAAAAGCGAGCGTTGCATGCTGGGAATTATTTTGGTCGGCGGCAAGAAACACTAATTCAACATGACGGACGGAGCGAGAAAGCAAGTAAAGGGTATTGATCCCGGATATTTATCCACTCTAACGGCAGAGGATCGAAGATGATTTGACCAGAAATTGGTCATAAGCATCGATGGACGCCAAATCACCCTTTATAACCCCTACAAAGCCTGGATGAAACCAAATTTCTGGTCTGAAATACCAACTACCTGGCCAAATATTCACTTCGGTGATATCCACAATGACTTGGTGGAAACTCCTGGGCCATTCACAGGAGAAAAGATGAAAACCTCCAAGAGTCTAGATGCATTGTTGAACTTGTTGGAGTCCACAGTTTGCTAGGATCTTCTACGTTTGCTCTGTGAATGTTTGAAAGACATTTAATTCAACGTTAGCAGTTCTTTTCACTCGGAATACGAAAAAGACATTTTCCTTCTTCCGTGCTTCTATTTGTGCATCTGATAATGCAGCAGGAATTTACCATTATTGGAGATAAATACGCGAGGTTACGCACTGTGTTTGACCGCTATCCTGTTTATTGCCTCCGACCAAAATATTTACCAGAATGCAACGAGGGCTTTTAATAACAATGACGTCAGCTGAAACTCACATATAGCTAAAAAAAACAGAGGGAACTACATAGACCATGATCCTTTGCTCCATTTCAGCGCAGACTACAAGAAGAAATAACTGTTATAAGCACTTTCAAATCTTATTAAGTCTTGTCAAGGCATTTTAAGAGGAAAATGTAGCATATTCACAGTTTTGTTAGTCTCTACAAAATATCGCAATAAATATCGTACAGTGAGATGTATATCGTGAAAATATCGTACCGATAGATTTGGATATCGTTACGTCCCTACTTGAATCAGATGTAGACATTAACATTACATCTCAATAATCAATAAAAACAGAATTCGGTGTCAGATTATCTTGGTGTTTTAGTATCCAGGCTGGTGCCACCTAGTGCCTCCGCTCAATTTCATTTCTCTCCAGCGACTAGGTCAGGAATCAGAATACACTAGTCGGCTCACAAAAACCCCGGAAGTGCGAGTTCGGGCACCAGCCAATCAGCGAAGAGTCATACATTCTGTGTTGGTAACGATTCCCGAGATCGAGGATTTAAAGCCGGAACAAAGAGAATGTTTGGTGAATTTTATCAAGGGGAAAGACGTTATTGCCCTTCTTCCTATGGCATTTGGGAAAAGCTTAATATACTAGTTAGTCCCGTTAGCAGTGCTTTACATACGTCATGACCGAATAGAAGCGATTGGTTAAATGAAAAAAATGAATTATAATGCTGTGAGGTCAGACAGTTTCTATTAAGTGAAACCAGCTGATGAATCAGGCTAGTGTTTTTGTATCATGATGGTCAAAAATAACTCGAAGAAAAACCTAGCACTTTAGAAATTATAATTTACTATATTAGTCCACAACCAAAGCTATTGCTGGTAGTACTACTTTTAATCATTCACTACCTCATTATTTCTATGTCAAATGTAATTCAAATTCAAATGAAATAATAGCTTTGCAAATTAAATACAATTCTTTGCTTGCTATGAAGTCTTATTTCTAATGAACATTCTCTGTTGCGTCACATTCATCCAGGTCTTGTCATTGACTCATCCAGTGAAGCGTATGACTCAAATATCAATATATCAATATATTGAGTTGAAGTTTCTGGTTTAAATCTCTTTGCTCCTTATTATCATATAGACGACAGCTAAAAGGATTCTCACTTTAAGTCTAATGCCACGCTGTGTAATTTAATAGGTAAACCGATAATAGCATCTCCTTGGAGACAAGCTGCTGTCAGACATCATTAGGTCGAGTTCATGTATCGCATTTTGCTATAAGCCTCATTACTATGCAACTTCTCTGCCGCCCGCTTGTTTCCATGGAGTTGTTATTGCGTCATCTGAAATGTCCCAGAGTATGGCATTAATCTGATCTATAGCATTTACTCCACTATTGCTCAGAAATACCGTGGAATACACATGAATTGATTCTGTGAGGAAAAAGTGACCTGCAGCTTGGTCTAGGAAGGACCTTGGAAGCCTTGTTTCCATGGATATAGCTAAGTTTAATGCCACACTGTGTAATTTAATAGGTAAACTAATAACATCTCCGTGGAGACAAGCTGCTGTCAGACCTTCCACCAGACAATTTGCATCACAGAGCCCCATCACTACTGTAAATTCTCTGCCGCACACTTGTTTCCATGGACTGTGTTATCTGAAATGTCCCAGAGTATGGCATTAATCTGAACTGTCACATTTACTTCAATACATGTGTTTTTATTGCTCAGAATACCTGAAATACACTTGCATCCTGTGAAGAAGTGACCTGCAACTTGGTCCTAGGAAAGGACCCCCTTAGAAGTGAACATTTAATGCCACACTGTGTAATTTAATAGGTAAACCAATAACATCTCCATGGAGACAAGCTGCTGTCAGACCTTCCTCCAGAAAAGTAACATCACAGAGTCCACGTATCACATTTTGCTATAAGCCTCATCACTATGTAACTTCTCTGCTGTCCGCTTCTTTCCATGGAGTTGTTACTGCGTTGTCTGAAATGTCCCAGAGTATGGCATTAATCTGATCTGTCACATTTACTTCAATACAGGTGCTTTTATTGCTAAAAATATCGGAAATACACGTGCATTCTCTAAAAAAGTGACCTGCAACTTGGCCTAGGAAGGATCTTGGAAGGCTTGTTTCCATGGACATAGCTAAGTTTAATGCCACACTGTGTAATTTAATAGGTAAACTAATAACATCTCCGTGGAGACAAGCTGCTGTCAGACCTTCCACCAGAAAAGTTACATCACTGAGCCTATGTACCACATTTTGCTATAAGCCCCATCACTTCGAAATTTCTCTGCCACCGCCTTGTTTCCATGGAGCTGTTATTGCCTTGTCTAAAATGTCCCAGCGTATGGCATTAATGTGATCTATCGCATTTACTTCAATACATGTGTTTTTATTGCTCAAAAAAACAGAAATACATGTGAAAAAATCTGAACATTTACATCAGAGACTCCATATATCACAGAGCCCCATCACTGCTGTATGTAAATTCTCTGCTGCCCGTTTGTTTACATGGATTTACTGCGTTATCTGAAATGT